TGACGGAAGAGAAGATGACATATTGATGAAGAGGTCAACCTACCGAAAGCCAAACTTTACGGGATAGTACACTAACTTCGACCACTAGGTAGAAAGATTGTGGGGGATCAAAGAAGTTCGTCAACTCAAATGAACCTCAGCCGTTTCACCATCAACGACCAGTATGCCTATCTCAGTGCGCACTGAAACACAGTTTTAAATACAATTCCCAAAGGATAAGACCTCAGCAACTCCGTTATGTTGTGATTATCTACTTGTACAATCTCTTGAATTCATCGCCAATAGATACATCTTTCAGCAGTCATGAGTGCTATATTCTGCTTTCTCTAGTTGGGGTGGTGTTAAGAGCCGCCTGGTCACCAGGTTAGGTGGGTCAGGCTAAAGAGTCAGAAGATAGTGTGGTCAGCCCTCAGGTCTACCAGGATTGATAGCCACAAACATCAATCGTGAGAGTTATACTTAGTCGTAACTAACAGGAAACAAGTTCAAAGTCATTCATGCAACCCAAGTAACCGGTTTCCTAGAAGAGAAATCTCACTCATTCTCTATGTCCTATAATTCTGAAAATTCGCTTTATAGATATGATTGATAAAGAACTGGAAAACATTCGTGCAACACTCTCAAATAATAGATTTATTGAAGAGAATATGAAGATAGAAACCACTCCTAGCCATATGATAGTATCAAGGAAGATATTGTATATGAGTTTGGTATTCTGTTATGTACTCGTCGCCAAATTATTGCTATGTACTGGTCGAGAATTTAATAGTCCTGATGCAAGAAAGACGGAAATCAGAAGACCACTAGGTTTGCGATGATACTTCTATTTTCCAAAACACCAGGAGAATCCAAGTCACACAAGAGTGTCCGAGCAAAAATATATATGAGTGTCCAAACAAGTGAGTGAACAAATCAATAGACAGTCTTAACATGATTGGCTAATTATAATGGAGTATCGATCCATATATACATAGCAAAATATAGCAGACATGTCAACAAACACACAATTTATATGGATACATGTCACCAAGATCAGACTGTCAAAAAACACATATTATATATAATATAAGGGGAATATACATTGTTAAAGGAGACAGGTCCATCAAAGTGAAATGGTCACAGACTAAGAGAGCAACAGAAAGAGACCACCACATATATATATATATATATATATATATATATATATATATATATATCATATTCGAAGGTGACACCATTGCTGAAGTCGTCTATCCAAGTTTATTAAACACTACTTTCATGCCTCTGACTTGCACTTGATATTCTCCAAACGAAGTAAGTTTCGACAATGCGTCAAGGATAAATTCTGTGCACCTGCGGTCTCACACGCTACTGTGGAGCTGATCACATGGAACGTTGCAAGCGTGTTCTCCAGAAACGCGCGTTCGGTTGATGAAAGGCTAGTATAGGATTATGAAGTCTTCCATTTGTGAACAGCTTCTTGAGTCAGGTCGTTCAGCCCTATGCAATCTATCTTTTGAAGTTGTACCTACAGGACGAAATTCAGTCACTTTAAAAGTTTACGTTTTCTTCACTTATGTATCACACAAGCTCTAGCAACACATGAACATAAACCTCAACTATGTATTCAAAAATGTCTTGTTAAACTCCGTTTTTCGCACCTTGGTCATAGTTATCTTCTTTTATATGCATATTTCTTTCCGCTTAAATTGATTTCACTTCGTCTTCACCCTCTTTATTGATATCATCGTCGCACTTTTAACTTTTTGACAGCACTTTGTGTACTTTTACAGTTTTCCAACTAATCAACTTTAACTCTTTCCCCCAGAACATTACGCTAATTATCTTTATTCATGATATCATATGTATATTGTTGACTGAGCAAGTTTTTAGTGATAGTCAGCGCCTTTTTTTCCCTAATATAAATACGAACGACTGTACAGCTCGGAAATGAAGTCGTTGAAAAGAAATATTTCTTAGCTGAGCGAAACTAATGACTATAGAGTATCAACCGAAGTTTGATTATTCGAACTAACTTGGCAGTTATTTTAATTGGTGGATGGTGACTAACAGTGGAATCTAGGATGCGCGTTTCGCCGACATGTCAACCTGAGACCAAGCACTTTGATTCAATCAGTCGACGGGAAAATCTTAAATTCAATTAACTTGGCAGTTGTTGTTGTTATTATTATAATTCATATAACAAGCTACTATGAATCACACTTACTGTCGTATGAAGACTAATAATCCTATCCAGTTAACGAGGTTGAAGTAACATTTGAACGCTGCGTGTTCATTGGTTGAAAATCAAGTGCTTAAGCTAATGGGTCACCTCTCAACATCAGTTAACAAAATTATCTTATCAGCAAGGTGTATCCATGTCCTTGACAAAAAACCGCATACTATCTGAGATTCAAACACATGCCGCAGAAGACATAGTGTAGGAAAATTTACCTTTAAGTCATTCAGGTCTCAGCTTATCACTGTTGTGGCATGTAGCCCAGTGACTACGCTGCACACCAAACTGAGAGGTTTCGATTAGCAAACAGACAGAGTAGACGGATACACTGGTCACCATTTGATGGATGAATAATTCATAAGGATTTAGGTGTAAGGTGGTCAGAAGCAATTGACATATTAAGCTGAAATACTGCTATAACTTTGAAAATGGCTGGCAAATGTTTGCATTTCTAGGAGAGCAGGAATGTATCCTCTGAAAATTGCAAATAAGTGAATGACTTCCACCACGATAAGGTTTTCCTAGCAGCTGACTCCAGTCTATTAAAACCAATGATTACAATAGTAGTCTTCCAAATTAAGTGACTAAATTGTAAACTTCATTAGTAAAATTCATTCAATACCAAGAAACAGACGTGAAATTGTTCATTATTCAATTTATAATTATGTATGTGGGAAGCGAAAAGACGGAAGGATAAGACGGACACTGCAAATGATTCACATAAAATGTTACACCAACCCAAAGATCTACAGGAAAAAACCAACAAGTTAGAAGAAGGAGCAGCAAAAAAACAAGACTTCGAGAGAAAGTAGAAAAGGTGGAAGTGATGAAGATACCCAGACAACAACAACACCATCAACAACAAGAACCAATCGTCGGCAGCAAGAGATATCTAAAGAAAGTTACCTATTCCACTTATCTAGGCAACACATCGTTTCAATCACACACGTCACAGATGAGGATGTCGAAGCCAACAAGGATCAAAAAAAGAAGGACACATCTTCATTAATTTGAAATCAGTGTGAAAGTCAGATGCACTCAGCAAAAGGAAAAGACCTTCAAAATTAATGTCAAGATGATGTTTCTACATGATTTATAGGCTTGACTGACTGGTTTCAACTTAGAACAGAAATATGATTGAGGGGAAAAGAATAGTAATATGGAAGAACAATAGAATTTTATTGGGTATTATAAGTCACGAAGAGTGAATGCATCTGTGCCAACATTGAGAACGATTTTGATATATATCACCAATTGTCTACAGCCTTCATTTGTTTTTACCACCCTGAGGACCCGAACAACGAAGCCAGTCTACACCCTCCTACGTTGCTGGCTTAAACTAACTATTGTGGATTTCATCGACTGATGAAACCATGTTTTCATTTGACCACCACTAGCTCTTTACCAACCTGATCCATCATCCTTTGTCAGTTAACATCGCCCATTGTCGAGGAAGGTGATGACTAGGCATGTATGCACAATACATGTCCTAACCATTTCAATCGATGCAGCTGCGGCTTCACAACCTCGTCGATTGATTCCCCCTCCTTACGTGGCACTCACTTGACCGATACCTCAGCTCAATATTTTTTTTCCATCACGTTCCCAGTGGACCAACCTAGAGCCTTGAAGTTTCTGTAGCAGTGTTAATTTTTACAGCATGGGGTTGCTAGCCTCATGTCCAACCTTCCCTCTTTACCAGTCCAACTACTGGCTTAGCGAGACAAAGTAGTGCGCCGGCCGGGGATCGAACCCCGAACCACGTGCATAGTGGGCGAGCGTCCTAACCACTGTGCCACCGACGCGGTTCAATATTGCCCATCTTATTTATGCCGTCTAACACGGGAGGTAGGTTTAGCGCATCACGGAAAGCATCTTCAACAAACTGCTTAAGACTTTCAACAACAGTTGCCGGCTTCGATCAATACTGAAGATCAAATGGCCAGCCGGGAGGATAGCAAACAAAAAACTCTGACAACAACGGGTGAAACAATTAACATATATACAGACGGAAATGAAGATGCTTATTGGACACACGCTGAGGAGACCGCTGAATGAAAACGCACGCTAACGCCATCGATTGGAATCCAAATAAAAAAAAAACGAGTTGGACATGGGTCCTAAGGTGACATGGAGGCGATTAAATGAGGGGGAGAAATGAAAGCCTATGGTGAGTCGTTCAGTCACCTAAAAATGACCGGCAGAGAACACGATGTAATAGAGATGTTCTACTCAGAACCAAAGAGAATAAAAATTATTAATAGTCTTCATAATATCCAAAAATGCACTGTTGAAATTGTAAAACAACTTACTGACGTAATATATATATATGTCTTCATATGACTCCTATAAGGTAATCTTTACCCCCTACAGATACAAAGTTATATATATAGAAGTACTTCTGAATGTATTGTCTAAATGCATGTACAAGGTGAGGTAGAAAAAAACACAAACAAGAATTGTATGAAATTAGAAAGAAAGAAAGGAAGCGAACGGGCTAACAGAAAAAACTCCAAAAATGTAAAAAATAAAGTGGAATGACAAGGTAGTATATATATGCATATGAGCATGTGTATATATATATTGCAAAAAAAATATATAAATAAGTACACCAACTATCAACAATCTGCTTGAGGGATAATTAATTATAATAATAGTAATAATAGTAGGAATGAAGAAATCTTCGTTTTTTACGATAAAATCACCGACTAATCGGAGTAATGGAGCTAATGTGGCATTCTTCCATTTTATGAAGGCAAAATCAACAAACACTGACAATAGTTCAGTATGAAGCAGCAAAAGCTACACGATAATGCTGTGGGAAGTCTAAGTCATATACATAAACTGTTTCATAATCTGGTACATAGTTTTGTGTAATACCACCATTACTCGGATAACAATAATTACCATTATGCGGATAATGATTATTTGAATTCCCCATTGTTGTCTGAGTGTATTGATGATCAGGTGAACTGTTCAATTGTAGTTTAGGCATGATAAGGCGACGAATAGAACCATTTTTCATGATAGCTACATGATCACCTGGTCGATTATTCAACTCCATATCTACAACACGTAGAAGATCACGTCCAGTTTCCGCTGGGGATACACCAGGAGCTAAAGCCAATGTAACATGGGCACGACAACCAGTTGGACGATTCATTGGCATTATACCACAGTTATCTATAAGAAAAAAAGATGCGTGATAATGGATAACAATGTTATACTAGTACAATAAAGAAGATATCGAAGAGAAACAATTGTTTATGCGGTTGTGTTCTCTTAGCCGGATAGCTGCGAAGCTTTCATTGCCCAACTAGGCAACCTACTACACAACCACATCAAAATCATCCACCTGAACTACAAATCTTCTCCATTATTCATTCTAGGTTTTGATTTTACCACTCCTAACTCTTTTCCCTACTTCGAACTGTATCAGACAACATTCCTCGATAATGAAGGCGGTGGACATGGAATGCTCAAAACGTTGTCTAACCATTTCAATCTATGTAGCTTCATAACCACACCGATTGATTTTCTCACCTTACCATCGAACAACACCCCACGCCTAATTTCAATATATTACTCAATTGAAACTTTATCTAATACTGTGACTTATATAGGGGTCTCAGTGGCCTAATGGTCTACAAGCTCGCCTTGTAACCGGTGCGCACGTACTAACAAAGAATCTGAAAATGAGGCGAAACATTCGTCTAGTACTCACAGAGGTAGAACGCTCACAAACCATACATGTGGACCAGGATTCAATTCTCGGTCAGTACTAAGACTGGTAAAGAGGGAAGGTTGGGCATGAGGCTAGCAACCCCATCTCGTAAAAATCAGCACTGCTACCGAAACTTCAAGCCTCCAGCTTGATCAGCACTATTTGACCGTCATTATTTGAATGGTAAGCTAATTAGCAGAAAAGTGAGTTGAACGTAATTTTCCAGATCTCATGTTATTTCACCCACTGTGTTATTTAATTGTTTTCTTTTATTGGAAATCCAAAAGGTTTCTTGACTACGGCGGCTTCAGATTATTGACTGTGTTACGTATTAGGAAGACGTACGCATAACGAAAAGAATATCCACACACAGTTTAATCAGTACAAGAATCAATTACAGCGAACAATTGTAGTCTACATATATATTCCTTTTTCAAGCTCTATAATTGTAAATCCATTGTAGCAGTTGTGTCAGTTAAACCTGACTTCTGTTGTGTGTCTATTCAGTGTGAAGCAAATATTTCTAAGTGATCATTTGGCTACATTGTCGTAACTAGCGGTGCATTCTAGTCAGCATAGACAACAACAAAAACACTTAACACTCCATTACAACAACAATGTAGCCAGTAAAGTCTGTCTGTCTGTTTTCGACATAGAACTTTGCACCGATGTGCGGCAGTCGAAGTCGCCAAACTCCATCCTTGTAGCACACAAAGCAAGAGAAAAAACTGGAAGAAGTGAATAAAAGAAACAGTAAACAGAGGTGTGAGACAAAGGAATAGTAATGACGAAGAACAATATAGTTGTATTGGGTATTGTAAGTCACAAGGAGTGGATGCATCTGCGCCAGCCATTAAGAACGATTTTGAGCCATATCACCAATTGTCTCCAGTCATTGGTTTTTATCATCCCAAGGACCTCAACCAGGAAGTCTACACCTTCCTACGTGGTTGGCTTAAACTAACTGTTGTGGATTTCATTGACTGGTGAGGCCATGTTTTCTTTTGACCGCCGCTAGCCCTTTTCCAGCCTGACCCTATGTCAACTAACTTTGCCCATCGAGGAAGCCAGTAAAGGCGAATTAGAAGTGTATCAGAGGATGTACTGTGGAACAAGTACACAATGTAAGTTTTGATTATCCTTTAAATTTGTACGGTCAATTAGATAATGGAATGAAATCAAATAATTCAGTGATGTGTGTTTATATATAGCCCAAAAAATATATACAAGTTTTCCAGGGTGAGTGAGAGACAGTACGAACACTACACAGAATTAAACTAACAAATGGGATAGACTAGACGTAAGTTCCAGGGTAACATATAACAATAATAATCATACGATAACGATAGTGTGGTGTGTACTTAAAAGCACTACAAGTGAACAATTATCAGGTAATAATGAATTTAATAAAGTGCAATGAACAGCCTGGTGCGAAAAAATTCAATATGCTTATAAGGCGATGTGATATACATCGGTCAAACATCACCAGAGAGAAATCAAAATCAGAAGAAATGAACACCGTAGACTCGATTCTTTTAGACCACCGAGAAATCCAGTCGAACTAGAAAAGCTTGAAAAATCACCAACCATAGCTCTACACGCTATAGAATCAGGCCACAAAATTGATTTTCACAATATTGAAATATTCCAGAAAAATGTCACAATTCACAAAAAACGTCTAACATTATCAGAGGCACTTCATATCATCAAATGGAATCGAAATTGTCTGAAATAGGAATGATGAACTAAAACAGAATTTCACCTGGTTTACAACAACCTCCCTACCGCCCCCCCACGCTCCATGAAATGACAAAATCAACACGGATGTGGGATAAGCAATTTCATCATGTAAACACATGCTGTTCATTATAATTTTATACGCTTACCGCATATAACAACGTAAAAATTACCCCATGCTGATGAATAACGAACAAGTTGTTATACATAAGCTGAGTGTATTTTGTAAATTCTGGTTTAATATCACTACTTTGATAAAGCTATTAGCAGCAGCATTAAATAGCAAAATGTCAGTGAAAACAATATCGTTTTCTTTCACATTCATTGGGAAATACAAAAAATTTTATAATAATTTTTAATTTTAATTTTTAAAAAAAACCTAAGGTCATAGACATAATAAGAAAGATCATGAAGTCGTAAAAGGTCTGAAATAATCGTTTTGTCAGTGAAATGTGTCTCTGTCTGTCTGTCTGTTTTCGACATAGAACTTTGCACAAATGTGCGGAAGTTCAAGTCGCCACATTCCGTGTAGCACGCGAAGCAAGAGAAGAAAGTACAAGAAAAGCATAATAGAAACAGTAAGCAGAGGTGTGAGACAAAGGAGTAATAAAGAAAAACAAAACAATTTCATTGAAGATCATAAGTCACAGGGAGTGGATGCATCTGCGCCACTGAGAACGATTTTGAGCCATGTCACCAATTGTTTCCAACCATAGATTTTTACCGTCCCGAGGACCCCAGCCTGGAAGTCTACACCTTCCTACGTGGCTTAGACCAACTGTTGTGGATTTCATTGACTGATGCCAAGTTTTTGTTTGACCGCCGCTAGCTTTTTTCCAGCCTGACCCTATATCCGCTAACATAGCTCGTCGAGGGAGGCGATGACTTGGCATACGTAACACATGTCCTAACCATCTCAGTCGATGTAGCTTCACGACTTCGTCGATTGATTTCCCCTGTTTACCTAGAACTCTACGCCTAACCTCCATGTTGCTCACCTTATTATGCCACTTTACACGGGAAATAGAACGCAGGCACCTATGATCAAAGGCAGCTAGTCTTTTCATGTCTTCCACTCTCAGTGGCCAGGTCTCACAACCATAAAGGAGGACAGAGCGGACTGATGAGCAGTACACCCACCCTTTGGTCGATAGTCGAACATCTCGTCTACGCCAGAGTCGGCGTAAACTAACAAATGCGAAACGAGCCCCTTGTATTCGTGCTGAGATTTCGTCAGAGATCAGCCCGTTAGGGCTGATGGTACTTCCCAAATAAGTGAAGCGGTCAACGTGCTCTACCACTTCACTTCCTATTTTTAAACTAGGCGTCGATGTAGTCCAGTCCTGTAACATCATCTTGCATTTGGCGGGAAGAGAAAAAAAAGGGATCGGGGATTAGTGCCAGATTTTACGTAGGGATTTGTTGATCTTATTGTAGGCCAAAGTAAACAAAGTAGTTTGACATACTTCTTGTATGCACACAGAGAAAGTCTTCTAGTATCGATTGCTACTACTAATACAAGACATCGTCGAGCTCTTTTAGATACATTATCAGGAACACTTTAGATAAACAAAATCACCTGCTCTGGTTTAACTGAATATCCACTTCCGAACAAGTGAGCTAAGACCGCACTATTTACGCATACAGTCTCCCCTTTAATGAACCACACGAGTTCACATGCATGCATGGATAAAGCCTATGTAACTAGCTTCACCGGAGCAGTTTAACTCATACGCGCATTGATGAGGTCATCATTAGTAATTTATCCTTGACTCGCTGAGTGAGTATTGGTTTAATTGACAAACTTAGTACCAGTTTATCCGAAGGGAATGTTCTTTTGATTTACCTATTAATTTGACAATATAGAATGTCTGTTGTAACCTTACCCTATGTCTAAGCATCGGGATGTACCTTTTTACGAAGTTCTCCGGAACACCGATAGCTTAAAAATAGGTACTGGACATCCTATGGCCTCTGGCTATATAACTCAACTAGAGCAGATATACATACATATAGATAGATAATAAGTTGTGAGTAATTTCAACCAGTTTAATAATATTTATTACGTATGAAACATAAAGTGATTGTAGAGAAAAAAAAGAGTACAAACCTGGGAAGACAACTTCTTGATCATCAGAAGCCCAAAGATGTCGAATTACAACTTCATCATTCGGTAGTCGTACTCTAGCGCCTATTGTACGCGTAGTGATAAATAATCCAGTAATTTGTATTGCAAATAATTTCCCTAGGAGGTTTTCACTCACAGATCTACGTAGAGCATATCGTTCTGCACCGGATGCTCGTCCAAATCGAGAATATTTGGCGGTTATATGCGGGATACTAGATGATTTGCTTGTCTTTAAACCTGTACCGAAATCAGGTATTGTAGCAGACTCCCAATGACTTAACACATTATGTACAGTTGCATCTAGGAGGAATAGAAAGGAACAATTTGATAGAGTAATTTAAAACATTGGGGAAAAATGATTACCATTTTGTTTTTTTTACATTTAACGTTTACACCTGCTAGATACAGACTTCCACAACTGGGAGTGCTGCTGCATCAATAAAAACGCACTGCTTTTTCATCTGTTCAAGTTGTATAACGCATGACAACAAAACAAAACACTACAGTTTTGTAAAATAAAACCACTCTTCTGATCATGTAGCTTACTTATACACACGTATACCGGATTAAATGACTAGGACAGGTGCAATGCATATAATATTGAACACAAACAACTGTTTACTGAAGTAGCTTAGACTTCGAATAAATGCCACAAAAAATTCATGAAATGTTTGGTTACTTTAACTGAACACCAACTAGAGTTATACGCTACACGCAGTCCTTCATTTGGTGTAGGATAAATTCTATCAGTTGAGATAGCAATATGCCCATCAGACTAAGAGTAGCCAACCATCATAATTCACTCTGAATTTTTGTTGCCAGGTAGTTAGAGGCAATGGGCATGACAGAAGTTACTGTTCAATCAAAGTATCCAATATGGTCATACAGGAGGACAATCGGGAGCCCGAATAGCTCAGTGGTAACGTCTCTGACTGCAGCACCAGGTGACACGGTTTCGAACCCTCCAAGGCTGCAGATAAACCCTGTTGACGATTACCGACAAGCACGAAGTCTAGAGCCAAGGATTCCTGCAGATTGATTCCAACCATCTAATAACAACAAACGTATGGTTATTAAAAAATGTTGAAACTTAATAACCACGTGGATTAGTCGAAATGTTGAATAACACAGTAGTTAGAGATATTCACATAGTACTATTAAGTGTTACAAAATTTGCAGCTTTCATTTTCGCTTTTAAAGCCACTTCTAAGTAATTATATCAATTATGTCACTCCCACCCCTATTACTCAATAATAAATTACTATACATTTTTGGTAAATATAAAGACGACTGTACAGCCTGTGAAGATGATTTCGTCGACAAAGAAATTTTTCTTTGCTGAGTTGTCTTTTGTTATTTTTAAGAATCAAAATAAGAGAGTGAAACTAACGTACTTAATTACTTGAAAGATTACATAATAGAATGGTGAAAGGCTGATTGAGTTACAAACACAGAACTTTAACAAGAAATATACAGCCACACGCCATATAGCAAACAAAGGCAGGAAAAAATATTTTTTTTAACTCAAAAGGACTATAATCAGCAGAAGTGTATGAGGGAAAGAAACATGAGGACTTAATAGATCTCGGAGATGGAAGCCAATAAGAATGATTTTGAGCCACATCACACCAACAGTCTCAAGTCATTCGTACTTAGCGTCTAGAGGACGCTAACCAGAAAGTTTACACGCAATGTGGTTGGCTCATGGATAAATTGCAGATAATGGTTTGATTACCTCTAACTCTTTTTCATAATCTAATCCTAGTGAGGCGCATGCTACTGATAAGATTTGTCAGTAGTATATAAGACGTTCATCGGCATAAAAATATCAAATAGCGGAGAGATAGATTTGATGTCAAAGATAGCAAATGAACCAGTGTTACGGCAAAACATGGGAGACACGAAAAGAGGACAAAAAACACAATAAGAAGAACACAAATGGCACAACACGGAAGATCTGTGAAAATAACGGTTTGCAGATAAGGTGTACATAATTCCGCAATATAGAGATACCAAATTCCAAACAAACATTCCTTCACGAAGTCCCTTGTTTTCTACCACTACACCATGTCAGCTAACATTGTTCAACGAGAAAGGCGGTGGTCAAAGGCAGCTAGCCTGTTTAATAGCATTCACTTTCAATGACCAAGTCTCACAGCCATTAGGCGACTGAGCGGACTGCTGCATAGTACATATGTCCTCCAATCAGTATCCACATATCACATCTTCGACAAAGATGACATGTGCTGGCAAATGACACACCAGCTTTTTGTATCCGTGCTGAGATTTTATCAATAGTCAGTTCATTAGGACTGATGCCACTTTCCAAGTAGTATTACATGCCGGATTGTTAACAATCAGTCCCATTTTAAACTATTTGTGAAAATATTAGGAACTTTTTGGTAAGAAGTTATGTTAACCTCCATCACTAAAGCGAAGCATGCTGAAAATTTTGTACCACTTAGCTGACTAGTTACGTTGAGCGAACTTTTAACAGGCTACATAGCTACATCGGTTAACATGGGAAGTGTAGCCTTGATTTTCATCTATCACTATTATTTGCTACAATCAATGGTTTGCAAAACTAAGAATCGATTTACTTAATCACTGTTTATAGCTGATAATGATTTGAAACTAACTGATCAAAGTAGGTCCTTATGCTCAAAAGCACCAGGACTGTTCTGTGAAACTGTTTGTTAGACAGACAGGTGTTTCTCGGAAGTTTATCAGCATCCAGAAACACATGTACAAAAACACCTCAGACAGAATGGGAATAAAGAGGCAACTATGACCACTATCCTCACTCAGAAGTAGGATTCAAGACGGCTGACCAGTTTCATCACCTCACCGTAACACTGCTATAAAATCAATTCTGAAATTTGCGTTTGGTAATGTGGATCTGCTGCCTGAATAAAGACTCTCAGACCTTTGGTATGCAGACGGCAGCGTTATTTTGCTCTTAATCAGTGAGAAGTTAGTGTCATTTAGGTATGGTATGGTGCTTCACACCACCTGAGTGGAAAGCACTATCACCAGACTAGTAGAAACTTGTACCCCTATCCACTCTTCCAGGTGGACCTTTAGAGGTAGTCGAGAAGTTCATGTATCTAGGTATTTGTGTGAGTCCTGACAGAGGCTGGATGAATGAAATTTATAATTATGCAGCAGTGAAAGCAAGAGTAGTAGTAGACGCCAACCTAGATTACTTCAGGTGCTGGTGGAACGCTACCTTGGCTTTCAAGGGTTCGGTTTAAAGAGTTTAGGTTTACGCAATCTTGCTTTATGTCTGTGTAACACAGCCTTTACGATTTGAGAAAGTTTAAATACTCTGTATAGCCGACAATCTCTACCTCCATAGAACTGCTCGCATCGTCTAAGTAATTCTGAAATCTGGCTACATGTGTTTCAAAATGATAAAGGTGGTCTTCCAAGATGTGATATCACCATCTTGCGACACTTATTGGATTCACTGGACTGGACATGTACCACGGACGTCATCGCAGTAACTGTCACACCCTTCATTGTTTGCGGACCGAACCTGGGGTTGGTCGGCAAAAGCGGAAAGATGGTGGCACTGTAGGGTGAGGAAGAATTTAATTGATTTGAGATTTGTTAGTACACGATGTTTCCCCAAGTGGGATCTGAGAGATCACACAATTAATTACAAGTATTTATTATCCTCGGAATACCTGAAGTTTCACACACGTGAATTATACAATTCAAAGAGAACAAATATTTTAAGTAAAAAGTACACAATGTATACATCATTATAAATATAACCAACTAACCTTCTGGTAAGCCAAATTCACTAGCAAACTCTTCACGTATACCAGGAAGGTCCATTATAGTATTCAGTGCATTCCAAGCCCAATGAAGAAAACGATTTACTTCAATGCATGGATTTGAATTTATGGAACTTTTCCATCTTTTAGTTGATGCATTTAATGATGTATCCAGTTTTTGGCTTAATTCACTCGGTGGTCCAGACCAAAACCAACCATAATATAATGGATAAATATGTTCAAAATTACGAACTTTAGCTTCAACTGTTTCTAAACTCACAAAGTGTACATTACGCATTGCCAGTGTCTCTGCATCAAAACGCCATGGTGTCTGTGGAATAACCATTATTACAAAATAGTTAAAACGACGTGCTAAATCTGTATAATAACGTGTTTCCCAATTTCTAACATTTGTATTATCAATAATAATTGGACTATGACCAGACGAAGCAGCAGTATACGCGTTATTTTGACACCATTCATGAGCTTCATTTAATCGATTAATATCAAATTGATATTCAAAGCCATTGGATTCTAGATACCAGAAATCATCTGCAGAGCAAACCTAGTGAAGAAAAAGATTTATAAACACAATAGTAATAATAATAATAATAACATAAACAAGATTACTATTGTACGGATAGATTTGCAGACGATTGCTTCAATCAACCAACAGAAGGACTGATCACAGCATACAACAACGATCAAATAAATAGCAGATAGGTTGATTGGTTGTGTTTCTAGCCGCTGTTGCCGTTGATGATACTAACTGAATCTTATCAGTTAGCGAAAAATATAACATTCGTTACTGTCTAGTAACTAGTCAATATATTCCTTACAGTCCTATAGGAGGTTGATCGTGAGTCCGTATAGCTCAGTGAAAACGTTTCTGACTGGATGACGAAAGTTTGAGTCTAAGAAGAGACATCAGTCACCTCGAGGCTGTAGGTATGCCTTGTTGACGAGTGCCAAATAGCATGCAACCACGGTCCTTGACTTTCTGTTGATAACCTTCAACCAACTAATATAAAGAGTTTACAAGGTATGCTGGTGTGACTATGCGTTCACTATTACGACCAGTCCTGGCTGATTTTCCAATTGCAAAGTTAAAGGATGGACAGCTTAGAGGGGTAATTAATGAACTGGAATTCTACTGTCAATATATGAATGATACACTCTTGCTTATAAAAAACGAGAATAAAGCAACGAACGAACGAAGTTCAGCGATGTGCATCCATACAGTAATAAACTTTACCATGGAGAAAGGAATGACAGTATTTCACTCCTAGACACCCCTCTGACCAGCTAAGACAACGGTACATTAAGAAGCACTGTTAATATAGAAACCCCCCAGTGGCAGATCAGTATACTCATTTCTTAGCTTTTGTATCTTTGAAGTAGAAACGCAACTTAGTGAAGTATTTGGTTCATATAGCCAAAACAATCTGTTCAAACAACTCTCAACGAGGAGCTTAATATTATCAGAGAATTATTGAGTAAAAGTGACTATCTAGATAAATTTATTGATGAAAATATGAATTCAGCACTAGGGTTAGTCAGTATGACAACAGCTCCAAAGAAGTCCTAGTTCATAAAACTGCAGTTTCTTGGTAATAACATCAGCGAAATAGTAACACAGAGCCTGAAGAATGCAGTAAAAATAACATTCAATGCAGCAGAGATACGCTGTCTCTTTATAATCACTCCAATGTCACGTTTGATAAATAAGGATTAACTACCAGTTTGACTGCTCATGAGGAGCTAGTTGCATTGGGTGTACAATTACACAGGTTCATTGTCGTATTTCTAAACATCATCCTGCACGGTCAGGCAAGGGATTAACAACATCTATTCGTAGCTCTGTCTAAACACACACCCTGTGGATAGTGAACGTAACACTGATATTAACAAAGCATTTAAAGTTATTTATAGCATTCCCAACAATATTAATTTTGTTTTATGATTACGTCTTACACATTCAGTTGAGGCCTCGAAATCCACACAAAAAAGCTTGACCTGTTAAGTTAAGAACGAATTCGTGCCTTGCCCATAGTTACATGAATGTAAAAAATGATAAACTATCATTGTCCTAATTTAATTTTAGACTTTCCCGTCGATTGATTGGACTGAAGTGCTCGGTCTCAGGTTGACATATCGGCTTCTTGTGCAGATGCTTGCACAATGCCTGGGCATAAAATCAGAAGTCAATTGGTGGATGAGATGATTAGCAGTGGAATTCAGGATGCGCACTTCGTCCTATTTGCAGGTACATCCGGATGACGAGTCCGAAATAGGACGAAATACGCATTGCGGATTCCACTGGTAATCATCATCCACCACCAATTAACGTCTGTCATTGTACTAATTATTTTGTTATTCTGAACACCTCATCTTTAATTGTTTATCACGTATTCAGTTCGAACACTCAATTATTTCTGAATTACTCCTTATTTTTCAAAATTAGACATTACGCAATCCACTTGTTTGAGTTTTGCAATTATTTCTACCCTTCGTTAACTATCTATCACCTCCCTTGAAATGTTAATTGAAACTGACTAATTATTGTTAACAAACTTATTATCATTAGATCGGTAAAATATTTTATATTGTATTAAAAATGTAGAGCCAGAGATGGGGATCTTAGCGAAAAGTAAACACTTCTTTGCTTAATTATTTTTTTTAATTGTGTAAATGGAGATTTTTTCCTATACTCAGAATAAAAACCAATTTAATTTTAATATGTAATTCTCTCTCCTTTTTACTATGCACACCGATTAGTTGACGAAAGAGAAATCGTGCAAAAACTTACACACACACACATCACTTAAAGCTTTTGAAATAAGAATACAAACAAAGAATACAATCAAACTAAATCCCTACAAAACCAATACTTGAAAATTAATCTGATGCTCACTAGTAACTGGACCTATTCGGGCAGTTAACCTGGGGTTTTAGTGGGAAGCTGTGATCAGTAGGGTACAGTAGATTGAAGATGAGGCAGTAACTCATCGAAGAAGACATTGCAAAATGGTCACGCTATATCGTGAATTGGCAGATATCCCGGGTTCGAACCCACTTGGGGTGGGCGCGTACTGATGAAGAGTCACAAACTAGGACGAAACAGCTGCCAAGTACTCCCAGGTTTTTCAGTGGCTCTTGAACTGATGTCAGCTCATGATGAAATCCTCCATCCAATCAAACTAAGTCCCTACAAAAACCAATACTTGAAATACAATAAAACTCAACAAATGAAATATTCCCATATTGAGTCATAAGAAAAAGACATAAACAACGAATAAAATTATCTTTTCGACGACTCATTTTCATAAGCTGTACAATCGTAATTATATTTAATAAAGACTTCATAAAACCAATCAGATACTGGTAAAATTACCCCTCGAAAGTGTATTACGTGGGTAATCTAACGTGTAGTTTAGAAGAGGTGACTAATTGGAAGTTAGAAAGGGGGGCAGAAGTTGGCACAACGTAATAAGTGTGAAAAAATGACTAATCAATACGATTGTATCGAGCGGACAAGATCTAGTGAGGAAAGACGATAGTGTTTTTTTTATAAAATCTGTATGAAAACTTAATGTTAGTAATACACAGTAATAGAGTGAAAATAAAGTAATAATAGTAAACTTACATAGTAAAAAGAAGCAAAATTATAGTGAGAACGTTACTCTGGCCATGGAAATGCGAGTGAATGTATGTGGTGCTTTTGAATGCAGAGATCCGGTTTCAGATCCTGAATAGGCAATGATTCAGTTATGTATAAATAGTGTATTCGAAGTCCCTCCGTACGATATTGAAGGACTCTGTGTAGCACAGCAAAGCATTCATGCGGGGTGCTCCATGCCCAGAGCTGACAAGGTGTTCGAGTATGGAGCTGTTAGAATCCTTTTTTTCTCCTCTGGTTAGCCAAGCTGAACAATGTTCAATAAAACGTTTATGGACTTAACGTTGTGTATGGCGAATACGCCATCTATACATAGCTGAATCATTAGCTATTCGGGATCTGAAACCGGACCGCTGCATTCAAAAGCACCACATACATTCCCTCGCCTTACCGTGACCAGAGTAACGTTACCACTGCAACTTTGTTTGTTTTTATTATGTAAGTTTACTATTATTGCTTTATTATCACTCTGTTACTATTTACTACTAACATTGCGTTTTCATACAGATTTTATACAAAAACACTTTATTGTCTTTCAGCACTAGTTCTTGACCACTTTACACAATTGTACTGATTAGTCATTTTCTCGCAGTTATTGCGTCATGCCAACTTCTGCCCCCTTTCCTAACTTCCATTTAGTCACTCCATCTAAACTACACCTTAGACTACCTAATACACCCTCGAGGACAAATTTAACCAGTATCTGATTGGTTTTATGAAGTCTTTATTAAATATAATTAAGATTGTATAGCTTATGAAAATGAGTCGTCAAAAAGAGAATTTTCTACGCTGTTCACATCTTTTTCTTATAATATAACTCAATTGACAGACGCCTCATCTTAAATTCAATTAAACCAGGTACCTAGAGAAATGATGAGTAAATATTTCCAGATATATATATAGCTCGTTGTATGCAATAAGCGATATCCAGCTTACTTTCAAGTTTATTCTGTTATCATATTTTTTTAATTACAAAGCTGAGACTGTGATCGATAGTAACTTGATCGATAAGTAACTCACGCAAAACGTTTTGGTTAGGAAGAGAAACTTGGCTGAAGAAAAGTATGAAAAAACATAATAGTCTTATCCTGTTTTGTAGACATGAAATCAATAGCTACAAAAAGGAGTGCAATAGATTTATTAAAAGTGACATTAAATATAATTTCAGGATTTTAAGTGAACAGAGAGAAGACAGAGGTGATAAAGGAATCTAAGCAATAATACCACCGCCAACAACAACAAGCATCAACCACCATCAATGAGAGAAATTTGACTTATTCTAGGCAGCATCGTTTTAACTATAGGTGGTACACACAGATGAGGATGTCAAATCCAGCAAGGATCGGAAAAGAAAAAGGGGATTTCATTAATCTGAAATCATAATGAAATTTTCATGGAGGATTTCATCATGAGCTGACATCATTTAGAGAACCACTGGAAAACCAGCTGGGAGTACTGGACGGCTGTTCCGTCAGCCTAGTTAGGGACTGTTCATCAGTACGCACCCAACTGTCCAGTACTCCGAGCTGGTTTTCCAGCGGTTCTCTAATTGATGTCAGCTCATGATGAAATCCTCCATGCAATCAAACAAAATCCCTATAAAACCAATACTTGAAAATCAATATGAAAATCTCAACATGCAATCAACATAAGCGAAGAGATCCGAACCTTCAAGACTAATGTCAACTTAGTGCCTCCATTATATGGTTCATAGACTTGGCGCATCACGAAAAGCATTTCCAATAGGCTACTCTACTGCTGACTTCCATCAACAGTTGCCCGCTTTGCTTACTAGATAGTGAATATCAGATTGGCTGATCGGAAGGGACTTTTTATTTGATTTTGATTTTTGATTACAGCTTGATTCCACACCACATTTTTTGGTACAGGTATGGAATTTTCAGCATGTGATATCGGTAGCCCAAATGCTGCAGGCCGACCATAGATATCAAGTGTGTGTCGGCAGGGGATCGAACCTCGGACCATGTGCATGATCGGCGAGAGTGATAACCACTGTGCCACCGACGCAACAATGAAACGAACAAACCAAGAACCCATCGCCTAAAAAGTATTCAGAATGAAATGGAAATCGATCGACCACACGTCGAGGAGACCGTTGAGTGGTATCGTACACAAGACAGGCCTTCACGTAAAACCTGAATGGGAAATGACCAGCTGAGCGTACGACAGTGACACGGAGGAGATTGTTTGACGGAGAAATGAATTGAGGAAATAGTCGAGCTGGCTGAAGAAAGACTGCAGAAAAAAACATAGTGTAATGGAGATGGGTTTTTGAAGCTCCTTGTTCTACTCGGAACTCGAACAATAATACTACAAAACAAGTACAACACAGTTATAGTGAATAAGAGCAAAAGCAACAAAGTACTCACCTTAGCCATTGGAAAACGTATTCGTATACATTCAGAAATGAATGATTTTCCTGCTCCAGGTGGTCCACGTAGTATAAACATAAAACGACAATTTGTAATCCAATTTCCAATTTCATTATCAGTGAGAAAAGGGAAATTCACATATTCCCTTACAACTTTTGGACCTTGAGATGGATAAGATGGTGTTTTCGCTGTTGCTGGCGCCGACGACTGTGAAAGTAATCTCTGTTGACTGCTGTGAACACCAGTAGTAGTAGATAATTTTTGCATAAACTTCGTGGATGATTGGTCACGAATAGCAACGGATGGCTGTTGTTCATTCCTATTCTTATCATCATCTTCATAATTATCGTTTACTGCTGAGGAGGAAGAGGATGTTGTCGGTACAACTTCATTAGCACATAAAATTTTCACATCAGAATCATGACGTGAAGTTCTTAACTCAGAGGTCGATAAAAATCTGTTCCCAGTTGGAGGACAAAGGTAATTACAGATATTTCCCATTCTATGATTTGTGGCTATTGAACAACAAGATAATGACGATAAATATCCCCTAATGGATGATGAACATTGAGATGTTGTTTGTACATATAAACATCTATTTGTATTTACAAAAAAAAAACAGAAGCGAGAAAAATTTGAAAGCTTCAGGAATGAACGCATATCACACGAGAAACACACCACTATCAATCGCACAACAATATTTACACTTGAAATGTAGATGAATAATTTAAGTGGTTTAAATGTTTGTTCTGAACTCAGTTCTCGGAGCAGGTCTTTCATATATGAAGACTGTCAATACCACCCCGTGACACAGGCTGAAGTGGAACTCGAACCCGGGACACACTGGCTGAAAGTCAAGTACATAAGCCAGTGAGCTATGATTCGTTGAAACACAGCGATTTGATACTTTTTATTTGGCCTTCAGAAAACCACAACGTTGTGATCGATAACTTTTCGATATCGCATGAAGATACAATTGGCACAATTCTCAGTCAGTCAGTCAGTCGGTAAGTCAGTGGCTTTCTTACGACGCACTAAATACACACGGACGTATTACTCAGTAAATAGATAAACAAGATGTGTAATACTAGGTTATATGCGGCAAGGGGAAGATAGTACAAATCCAATGAGTAGTTTATCGTCAAGTTAAGATAATATCATACGAAGTTATTAGAGAACTGTCTGTCTGTCTGTTTTCGACATAGAACTTTGCACATATGTGCGGCAGTTCAAGTCACCACACTCCCTCCTTGTAGCACACAAAGCAAGAGGAAAAACTGGAAGAAATGCATGATAGAGACAGTAAACAGAGGTGTGAGACAAAAGAATGGTAATAACGAAGAACAATACAGTTTCATTGGAAATCATAAGTCACAAGAAGTGGATGCATCTGCGCCATCATTGAGAACGAGGATTCTGAGCCATATCACCGATTGTTTCCAACCATTGGTTTTTACCGTCCCAAGGACCCCAACCGGTCAGGAAGTTTACACCTTCCTACGTGGCTGGCTTAAACTAACTGTTGTGGATTTCATCGACTGGTGCCATGTTTTGGTTTGACCGGCGCTAGCTCTTTTCCAGCCTGACCCTACATCAGCTAACATTGCCCGTCGAGGAAGGCGATCGATGGCTAGGCATACGTAACACATGTCCTAACCATCTCAGTCGATGTAGTTTCACAGCTTCGTTGATTGATTTCCCCTCCCTCCTTACCTAGCACTCGACCAACGCCTAACCTCAATATTGCTCACCTTATTATACCACTTCACACGGGTGCAGGCACCTATGATCAAAGACAGCTAATCTTTTCATGTCTTCCACTCTCAATGGCCAGGTCTCACAGCCATTGAGAGAACATTAGTGAACTAACAGTGGGGAGTAGTAGCGACATGACTGTTAACATTGCCTATGTATAATACAAACACGAGGGCAGATACTTAAAAGGTTTTTAGAATAAAAAGTAACAAAAAAATTATACGCACAAGGAAAAAACATGACGAAAAGTGAAAAAAGCTCAGTTGATATTATTGCTATGGCCTCAGATTTGCATAGGGTTGTAACTGACAGTGTTTTAGAAACACTACATTACACTGAACGCCATTCAGACATGAAAAAAGGGGTCTTGTATCTGTGATATGTATAAGAATGAAACTTTTAACAGATTTAACTTAACCTTATCCTAGTTAAACACAGTCCAATGTTCTCATATTACAAAATCAACTTGATTACCCCCTGCTTCTTATGTAAATTTATCGTCATGAGTCAATTAAAATGGTATACACATGATAGTGAAATAGGACTGAGTGGATGACTACCAAATGAATGAAAGCTCTATTTGAACTCAACGATAAAATTTCATTTGAAGTACCTCTATCGAATCATAGATATAGACACAAACTGCGTTATCAATTGACATGACTTCACATTACAACGTGCTATAATGGCCTTTTATGAATTTATCAGAACATCAATTTCCATGGTACGCTTGACCACGAATTGATGTAAGTTAAGGCTAGGGATGGAACACTGTGTCATCATTTGGTTCTAAGACTCAATATAAGTAGTAAGCATAAGCTTAGAACTTCATTGGTGGATGGTGACTAGTAGTGGAATCCAGGATAACGCGCATTTCGTCCTAACTAGGACTCATCAGCTACTGGATGTACCTGCATTCTCCAGTGAGTCAGTGATGATGTTCCCACTGAGGCTCGAACCCAGTGCGCATAGCTTCCAACGCCAAAGCGTTATCCACTAGACCACTTGGACCACAAGAGCCACCTCTTGTGCAACAGGTCATATTAATTTTAATTAAATGCCCAGACATCGTCGAAGCCTCTGCACAAGAAGCCGACATGTCAACCTGAGACCAAGCACTTCGGTCCAACCAATAGAGGGGAAAATCTAGAAAAATTCAATTAAAATAAGGCTTAGAATTGCAGCTTTTTAATACAGGTTAATTTATCTACATTCGACAGTGTATGATTTCCACTTTCTAAAATATTTCATTTTAAATATACCTGAATGTCACGATTATTAAAACAAACTCAATTATTACAACCGTATAAAGTAAATATATTTCAATGTAAAGGAAATGCAATACACAGTAGCGAGGTTATAAATATGAGTTTACCAAAACGGGAAAATAAAATCTTCTCTACAAGATTTCAGAATAATTGCATTGTGTTACTATTGCTATTGCTACCTAATACCACCAAATACAATGTGCCCTAGAATCGATTGTCTGACGGTAACACATTAAAAACCTGATCAAAATAATTACATCAACTCTTAGCATAATGCTGTTTATGAAAGAAAAGATCTAAAAACAATGGAGTAAAGCATTTTTCCGAAAGGAATACCAGTATAATGAGGAATAATCACTACATTCTATCCTACAATTCACTATTCTATGGAGTTGCTGTCTGACTGACTGGGTTTCAATGTAGAACTCTGCACCGATGTGCAGCACTTCAAGTTGCCATACTCCTTCCACGTACCACACAAAGCAAGAGAAGAGAGTAAATAGAGATTCAAAACGGAGAGACATAATAAACTGAAATATGAATGAGGCAAAAGTAATAGTAATACGGAAGAACAACAGAATTTTATTGGGTAATATAAGTCACAAGGAGTAAATGCGTCTGCACCAGCCATTGAGAACTATTTTGAGCCAAATCACCAATTATCTCAAGCTATCATTAGTTTTTACCATCCCGAGGACCCCAACCAGGAAGTCAATCTACATTTTCCTACGTGGCTGGCTTGAAATAACTGTTGAAGATTCCACTAGATAAGTCTTTCCTAGCCTGATCCTATGTCAGCTGGCAGTTCTCGTTGGGGAAGGTGATGACGGGACATGCATGAGTAACACAAGCCCTAACCCTCTCAATCGATGCAGCTGCTGCTTCACAACCTCGTCGACTGATTTCCCTTCCTTACCTAGTACTCGACCGAAGCCTAACCTCAATATTGCCTACCCTATTATACCACGGCACTTAACACGGGAGATAGAACGCAGGCACCTATGGTCAAAGACAGTTAGCCAGCCTTTTCATGTCTTCCAGTTTCAATGGTCATGTCTCGTTGACAGTCATAAAGGAGGACGGAGCGAGCTGCCGAGCAGTACACACGTCCTTTGCTCGACAGTCGGATAACAAGTGTACTAAACCAGAGATGGCGTAGTTTCTGTGGTTTTTTAGCCAATGCATATTGCAAAAAAAGATAATTCACATATGCAGGAGAACAAAATTGAAATCCATTCTTAATTGCATTGGGTGGAAAGTAAAAACATCACTACGGTACAGTACAGTATATTTTTTTTCAAATTATAACAGAATGCTGAAAACAGTATTCATTTCAATTACCTTTCCGTATGAAAGAACATATCATGCATGTGATGATAAGATTTCCAATACAATATTGACCGATGTAAGCATGACTTTGACATTAATACAAATGTATACTGCAACAAAAATGATGGGGATGATTCACAACACGAATACGATTGAGATACGTCTTCACGACAGTTAAATTATCTGACGAAAAATAATGAATAGAGGTTACCCTCTGCCAATACAGAATGCTTGCTATCATGAAAAAGAGGTACAGTGTACACATCCCCTAGTCAGTTAAAAAGTGTTTAACGACAGTCTATCTATTAATTAATTCTTATACTTTCCCAGTGGGATACAGAGCTCCAATTTCAATTTCACTCATACTTCATTGTGCCTGCCATGTAAGGAATTATATAATAAGTTGGCTTTCCCCTTCCCCCCATCCTGTTCGAGAAACCACATTTACAAAATAACGGCATACTTAGCATCATGTTTTTAGGGGTGATTTTGGAGAACTCTTGACTAGTACTCCGAGTGTAAGTTTTTCTTTCATCTCAATTCTTAATCCCTGAAATAATATCCAGAAAAATTGCAACTTATGCAGGAAATCTTACACGTGATTTTGGCATAGCTAAGCGAGAAAAAAAAGTGCTCAAGTAACAAAAGTGGTAAGTTAAAATTATCGATTCATAATCGAAAATTCACTGACACACAGTTCTTACCTAGGTTTTATTTAGACAAAACAATAAGAAGACGTAACTTGTCTGAATCGTGTGTAATTGTATATTTGAGCAACAAATTTCGAACAATCTGATCACACACGGACTTGTCATAGGAATATATAAATGAAATTAATTAATAAAAAGTTAAGATTGTATGGAGGATTTCACCATGAGGTGACATCGGTTAGAGAACCACTGGAAAACCTGGGAGTACTGGACAGCTGTTTCGTCCTAGTTTCGGGACTCTTCAGCAGTACGCACCCACCGGGGTTCGAACCCAGGACCTTCCAGTTACAAGGCGAGCTCGTAAAAATCCCTACAAAACCAATACTTGAAAAAAGTTAAGAGGTGAGAAAAAAATTTAGGTCAAGTTAAAAGGACACATTGAAGGTCAAAATAACAATGAAGATCACTAAACCAAATAACAGAGATAATAGTACAACTGCCCTAACTGCTATAAAAACAGAGTTTATCAAGGAAGGTTTAGTGTGATGACGAATTGTTGCTTTGAACGCATAAAGGTGGTTTAAACTTCCTAA